AACCCATATCAAATTGACGCGATACCGGGGCATTGCCCCGGGTTTTACACTAGTCATTTGTAAGGCAATGAGGTTGGTTTTTTATTGCACTATTTATCTAACATCGAGAGAGATGGAGCGATATTTTATCACTCATCCAATAGTCAAGAACATTATTGAACAAACCAATTTGGTTGTGTGTAACACACTTTTTATGATTTATCCCATATCCCAATGATTTGATTAGTTTTGAGGGTTAATAGGGGAACATTTTGGTGTCTATTCTGTTGCTTGAACAAGTCTTTTTGGGAAGTGTGATCTACGTTATGCCTTATGATTTTGAATTTTTAAACATTTATATATATTTACAGTTTCTAATAAATAATGTTCTTGTAACCGCAACGAATAGCCATTGTCGTTAAAATATAGAGGTTATTGTTGGAAAAATGTGTTAAAATTGTATTAAATGATCATTTTGGGGCAATTTTTTGAGTGGGGTCCACTTCCAATTTGATTCGGGTCAAAGTGGTTTTAGATTGTCCTTGTTAAGGGCTACAATTCGATATATGGTATACTCAAAACAGATAACAGGTGAATGAGAAATTGATTCTCGAAGTTTACCCGTTAGAATGGAAAAACGAGGAAAAAGGATGAGTTTCTAGTATGTTAATTTCCCACACCAGAAAACCCAAGGGATTTGCAACCCTTTATAAAGGGAAACCCCCTCTAAGGAGTTAAGATTCCTGAAGGTAAAGTCTCTCTCTCGCGCGGGGGGCGCAATAGAACTGCTCGAACAGAAGGCTTGGTCCTCTACTACGGAGCTCGGACAGAAGACATCGGGGTCCTCTGCTGTGGAGCTCGGACAAAAGCCCTTGGGGTGTCCAACGTTCTTATCTTTTAATGCGTCTTTAAATGGACAGTTTCACGACATATTAATGTCCAACGTGCTGGTCATTTATGTCCAACGTTCAGGTCCATTAAAGGTCACTTAACACACAACAAATCCTCCTATAAATTGGCTAGTAGGTGGTTTACAACAACACACATTCACAAATGAACTCACGCACTTTTGAGCTCTCAAAAAACACTGCTACCATTCTGAAAAATTCTTTCTATGTTCATACTTTTTCTTCTCCGCTAGAACTTTTGTTTGTATGCTCAAACAAAAGTTTGTAGTCATCGTATCTTGGGAAACGATTCTTGCAACGCTCCTAGCACCGTGGGAGGCAACGAATATGTTTTAAGGATATCGTGCGTAGCACGAGCTTTGACTAATTTCTGCTTCATTTTATTTCTGTTTTTCTTTCGTCATTTTAATTAATTTATTTTAATTAATTTTCTTTATTTTCCGAAACACACCCTACAGTTATGTGATGGACACAATAATTCTTTATGTTTTATAGAATACTTATAGTAATTTGTACTAGAAAAAGAGAGGAGCTAGAGTACATAAGAAACTCAATATGCATTTGGTAACGTGAAGTATGATCAATAGGAGGCACTTCCGGGTCAACCGTTGATGGCACTAGAGTCATTGTGTGCTTCAAAATAAAATCAATACTATCACTTATGTCATTGTGTGCTTCAAATTAAAATCAATACTAGCACTTATGCGTGTAAAATTGTAAGGTTCATATCCACAGGGAAAGAATATTTATCATTTATAAAATTGTAACAAAAGAGGTTTTTAAGATTGTTTGAACTTAAGAATAATTAAACATTAAAATGAACGACTTATGTGATTTAAGTAAATGAGATAGATATGGGTGTCGAGAATAACTGAAGTGCGACCGTGAATCCGTGATCTTCTTTTTCCCTACGCTTGTGCGGCAACGAATGCTGCCGGCGGTGGGGCACGAGATAGCGGCCGGCTCATTGCGGCCAATCTTGGCAGCGGCTGTAAGGGAACCCTTCCCCGGCCAACGCCTGCAATCTCAACCCGTTTCCTTCTCCGACATCGACTTATAGAAAATCCAAGCCAAGAATGGGTGTTTCAAAGGATTCCCGGCAGTCAGCTTCTCTGACTCCGATATTCAGGTTCTTTCGCTTAATTTCCGTTTCGCTCTTGTTGGGACCTTCCGCAATGGCTGACCCTCCCCTTCCCGCGATTAGGAAAGCTATGGCGGAATTAAGGTTCCCTCATCCCTATTCGGTCGGGCTTCTCTATTCGCATATAATTCTTTTTAATTTTGACTCTATTTCTGATTTTCAACGATTTTGGATTAAAAATTCTTGGGATTTTTATGGACTTATGATGAATCTAACGAGATGGACTCCATCCTTCTCTGTTCATTGTGATTCCCCCTGGCACCTATTTGGGTGGCCCTTGAAGGACCATCGATTCACCTCCATGATGCTAGGGCACTTTTCCCTATAGGAAGTCAATTTGGGAGACCCCTAATTATTGATACACCAACTGTCAATTTTTTTAGGCCCTCTACAGCCAGGATTTTTATTGAAATTGATGTCTTAATAGCACTTGCCTCTAAAATCTGGATTGGCAATGGAGACCAAAGATTCTTTCAATCTGTATTGTATGAAAAACTACCTGTTTTCTGCACTTATTGCTCTCGTTTTTGCCACAACAAATCACATTGTATCTAGCATGAGATAACAGGACCCCTCATCTGAGAGTTGCAGTTGCCTATGATGCCCCTGTTGTTGGTCATATTGTTGCTCATGATGCAGTTCTGATGCCCCTGTTAATGCCCAAGTTCTTGGGCTGGTTACTAAAACCCATGTTATTGATGCCTCTGTTAATGCCCCAGTTCTTGATGCACCTATTATTAGCCAGTTTCTTGATTCCCCGGTTGTTGATGCCCTTGTTCTTGGGCTGGATACTGATGCCCTTGTTATTGATAATGCCCCCTGATAGAGTATATGGGCCTGGACCCCATGGCCCACATACTCAAGTCAACGATGACCAGAAGAATGTCCACGTGGCCCCCTTCGGCCCAGTGGGACCCGCATCGGTCATAAACCAAACCGGCCCAGAACTCGAGTCTGGACTTCCGGGACCGCGTCGGCCCATGGACCGCATCGGCCAGAAACCAAACCGGCCCAGAGCACGAGTCTGGACTTCCGGGACCGTGTCGGCCCATGGACCGCATCGGCCATGGGGCCGCATCGGCCAAAGTGCACTGCATCGGCCAGACTTCGTCCTGGCAGAATACATCTCTCTACTTTATTTACTAAGTATTGTACTCAGCCCATTAGTAGCGCTATTTCGCCCAAGGAATGCATGATTATTGTAATGGGCCTCCTAAGCACATGGCTACGAGCCCAAATCCACATTTTTACCTATAAATAGACCCCTTGGGGCTAGCTATAGAGGGTTGAGAAATATAATTACTCACTTTCTCTTTCTAGCTCTCACATCTCTCTAGAATTGATACTGATATATATCCCGACTATTAGTAATGTCCCTTTTAGTGTACCTCTTGATGCTCAGGATTCTGCCCATGATGCTTTTGAGCATTCTGTTTGTACTATGGATAACCAAAATGGTCCGACTGCTTTTAATATTCTTGAGGATGCCTCTGAGGATGATGGTATTACTAGCTACTCTACTAGTGATGGGAAACATGCCACTGATTGCGGGATAAGTGTTGCCTCTGAAACCGAAAACGTTGCCTATGAAAATGCGTTGATTGCCCGTGACAGTTTAATATGTGAGAATGTCAATCGTGACGAAGTTGTCTGTGACGAAACTACCTATGATGAAGCTGCTAACGCTTGTGAGGCTCGAAATGCATATGAGATCCCTATGGTTAACAAATTTGACTTTTTAAGTCAAACCTTGGATTCCGGAAATGATAAACCTTCTTCTGATCCATCAGCCCAAAATGTAGTCCTAGAAACTGCCCCAATAACACAATTCATAGGTCCAATGATGACGCTATTTCTGAGGATCTTTCAACTATTTCTCAAACTAATGCAGGTTCAAAAGAAAATTATCCCAAGAAGGGGGAATGTCCAGAAGGCTTCACGCAGGTCAATGCAAGCCATAACATAAACAAAAGCTCCACCAAACTCCAAACGGACAACCAAGAAGATCAATAACAATTTTATGTAGTGGGTTGGAATTCACACTCCATGATCACAAGAAGTCAATCCGGGAAACCACAAAATGAAGTTGACTACTTCCTTTACCCGGTAGATGCAAGGTTCGACTCACCTCACAGACTTGCTCAAGCTTTGAAACGCTACAAGTCTTCTCACCCAGAGGCTTCTACCAACCTTATTTTCAGAAGGAGATTAAGTTTCATAATAAATACAATAGGTCCATCTCAGCTTCGCTTCGAATACCTTCTGAAAATTTTAATTGTTAAGGACTTTCTTCTTTTAAATTTCCCTTGTAATTTTCATTATCCTTTTTTATAATAAAATTAGGAAGTGTTCCCCGGCACTTCCTCCAGCATGAGTGGTTTGCTACGGGACAAAAAAATGAGATAAAAGACTTGACTTTGCTACTTTCCACATGTTGAGATGTTTGTCGATCATGGTTATATCTTTAAATTGTCCACTCTCGAATACCCAATCATGGAGTATCTCCAATTCATCGAGGTAGTTATTAATAACGAGACCGTTCATTAACAACTCTTACTATTAGCCAAGTATAGTACACCGCCATATACCGACTTGATAGTAGCATTTAATCTCTTAACTCCTTGATAAAATCAATTGAGATTTTTAACTTTAACACGACGGTTTCGGTTTAACTAACACAATTGATCCCTCTTTAGATTATTAATCATGAGACCATGCATTAATAACTCGAAGTTACTTAATTGTGAAACCATTATTGATTAATCATTGATTCATTGATCATTTTTAGTGGTAATTAATGTCAAGATTTTAACTAATCGTCACGTGCCAAGTACCTTGTGGTCTGATGGCATCACCGTTGATCACCCAAAGAGGAGATCACGGGTTTGAATCTCATCCCAATCAAGGATGTTGGCATTAACTAGAGTAGATACTATGATAGGTTTAGAAGGATATGCAAAAAAAAAACTAATCATCAATTAGAAACACTCTCCAACATTAATATATAGATAGAATAAGGGAAGAATTATTATTCAAGGGAAGAAGTTAAGAAAATAACACACAACTTTAACATTCAACAAGCTTCAAGACCAAAACCGAGAAATAGGAGTTTAGCTCCTCATTCGGAGACGAAGCATGCTAGGAATGATGAAATGTGAAGGAAAAGTGTATTATTTATAGGTATTTTCGTCAAGCTGCACCGGATACCCAATCGGGTATTGGTCAAAATCAAATCTTCACCCACATCTTTGTGTTGATGAGCACGTCTATTTTCCCGAAGTCAAGTCATAACGAACCGGGTGAAGGTACATACCCAACCAGGAATGAGTGCAGTTTCGCAGCAGCTTTCAATTTCACTTCATACCCGACCGAGTAAAGACCATACCCGACCGGGTATGTCATCTGGGCAGATTCCTTGAGTGCAAAGTTCTTCATCAACATCACTAAGTTTCATACTACTTTGCAACTTACAAATGAAAGCTAAAACACAAAAACAATTCAACTCAAACAAATGATTACAAACTCATAATAAAGGTAGCTGAAAAATTGTGAATATCAACCATCAAAGCAAAAAACACAACTTATGCACTAACAATTACTGCATATCAACCATCGAAGCAAAAAAAGCAAATTGCAGTTAAAGACGGAACCGACACCAAACACGGACCAAACCGGCACTGGAAACGGGCAGAAAACAATGACTGGCAGCATGCCCACTTGTTTTATGAAGATATTAAGAGCCTCAAAACCAGTACTGAACACCCCCTAACCGGCATTGGATCTGCCCAAATCTGCATAAAACACCACGACGTGCAAGATTCTTGAATTGAAGTGAAGATAATTGGAGAGCATGGTTCAGATTCCCCCCCCCCCCTTCCCCCCAACTGATTAAGGATCATGAATAGACTATTAGAAGCCATTTTCTATCCTATTTAAACCATCCAATCTATCCCAAAGAATCAATACATTAGTTAGTTACTAGCTTTTATATTTATTCTTTCTTTTCTATGGTGTTCTTGAGTTTGGGAAACTCATTTTTTGCAACCATTGATGCTTAAGTAATATTTTCTTTGCATTTTCATTTCCTTTTACATTTGAAGTATTATAATCTTGATTAATATGAGCATTAGAGACTAAATCCTTAAGTCAAGAATCGGGATGAATCTACGCCCACTTATTTTTCCTATTTATTCTAGGTCAATGTATTATGATTTATTCTGCTTAAAATTTAATTATCCATAAATGTTACACAATATAATAGCATAATCTATGTCTTGATATGAAGTAATTAGCGTTGAATATCTACCGGTGACTAGAAGAATAATTCGCATTTTACTCTCCTTACAAATAAACCTATACATCTATGATGCATAATATCTAGAAGTTTATATAGTCAAAGAAAGTTGTAGTATAGATCGTTCTCCAAAGGATAGACCATACAAGTATTGAATATGAAAACTTATCCGAACTTGTATGATATATGCGTGATATCTTAATGAAGATTTTTCTAGATGAATGTCTGACATAACAGGACTCACACATAGCGAACTTCACACTCTCTGCCTTAACCTAAGTCAAGAATATAAATATATAATAATGATATCGTACTCATAAGAGTTTATTGAACTCTAAAAACATTTAAGTGGATTTCAATGTCTTGATTATGTTATCATACATTCAAGAGAAAGTCTCCACACTTTACATCTTTTCTATAGTTTAATTTTCAAAATATGAGCTTTACTAAACAAACATTCTCTTGCGGATCAACCTGGTATCTTATCGGTATTATTACTACAATTGACGCTTATACATCCTCAAAGCCGGATTACTATGCTTAAATGCCTAGGTTTTTTTCCTACATAGGTTGGTTTGAAAAGTTGTTGTGAGGGTACTGATAGTTAAAGAGAAAAGCTTTGTGTTTTCCAGCAGCTCCAGTGTCATACTCGCCGACGAGTCCGCCTGAGGACTTTCTTCCGGTTCACTTTTATGGTCTATTTGGCCATCTTCCCGTTTATCATCAACTCTTTTCGCCAATATAGGCTCCATAAATAATGCTTCTTTGTTCCTGAAGCTTTGTTTCATGTCACTTTTTTGTCCCCGTCGCAGTTAAGCTATGCTATAGGGTTCTTCTTAAGGGAAAGCCGCGTTCACGAATTCCCGAATTTACGGATTCCCGAATTTAGTGGCCTACAAGGGTAATTTGAAGATTTCAAAAGATTTTTTTACTGATTGTGGGGATTTTTCACTAGATAGAATTCACCGACGTTGTTGATATTAGTTTGCTGATTTGAGAAAGGAAATCCAAAGGGTATTATCGCCGGAGATTTGGCCCATACTAGCCATACAAGGGGTTTTAAGCATGATGGTGAGTTTTCTTCGCTAGAGAAGGAAAGAGCATTCGAGTTGCATCCGTAGAAGCGCCGTGTTACACAACGGTTCTGCAATTGCAGGGGAAACACAAGATGGGCTCAAGGGAGATGAGGGGTGGCTGGATTTGCTCACGTTTGATTGGGGATCTCGTTCGGAGAAGGTAGACGTTTTTAAGCTGAAGCAGAAAGAGAATATTGTTTTGAGGGATCACTAGATTTCGCATGTGGGACTTGGTCACCGATACAAAATGGTTTGCCGACACTGCTTGCTGGCGAGGATACGACTAGACACCAAGTACAGGGACCACATGACATGTTTTTTTTTTAAAGGAGTTTATGAAACTATCTGATTAAGCTGCAAAAAAATCCGCATGGGCCATGCCCAACTCAATTTTTTTGGATGCTTTTACTTGGACTGTAATCTGTTCCAAACCAAAACAGGCCAGACTTGGATAGTTATAAAAATAGAAAGAGACCAGACCAGACCAATTCAGACCAAACAAGACCAGACCAGCAAATTACAGTCCACCTAAAAACATCCTTAGTTCTATTTACCTAGCTACTTGACTAGGTGATAGGCGCCAGTGACCAGAATGCCACTTATGGCATTGCTAGCACCACACTAGCTGCTCTCAATTTACTACATTGTCCATAACACAGATTAGAGATTGGGGTTGTATCAATTAATCATGGGAAAAGGTGCAAATAGGCCCATGTACTAACCAAAAAAGGTCAAGTAAGCCCTTATTTAGGAGACTCTGTCCGGCCGTCATCATTTGGGGTGGTTCCTGGTGGAATTTTTTTATGAAATTTTTTTAGCATCTTATTCATCAAGTCTAGTTTACGCATATCAAATTTCAGCTAAAACTTCAATCGGGAAGGCATTCAAATGAATTCTTGAAGATAACTGTGCTTCTAACTGCGCCGTTATGTTCAAGAATTCATTTGAATGTCTTCCCGATTGAAGTTTTAGCTGAAATTTGGTATGCGTAAACTAGACTTAATGAATAATATGGTCAAAAAAATTCATCAAAAAATTCCAACGGGAACCATCCCAAATGGCGACAGCCGGCCAGAACCTCCTAAATAAGGGCTTATTTGACCTTTTTTGGTTAGTACATGGGCCTATTTGCACCTTTTCCCATTAATCATTGTACATGTATTTCTTTAACACACTTGGGCCATGTACCAAAGCAGCCAGTTCGTAAACCAAACTAAAATTAAACCATCCTAAAAAGAACTCCCCCCTCCCCCTCCACACCATAAGTTGGAGAGTGACTCTTGACTAAATGACTAAACAGAAATTAAACTGCATTATAATAACAAAGCTACCAAGCAAAACCTTTGGAAGGTTACATCATATTCACTGATCTTCCAGTGTTCATGATCAAGTCCTGAGACGCAAGTAACGGGTTCTTTTTACATCATTGGACCTCCCAGGATTAACACTTTTGCCATCACATATGTCACGCAAAAGCAAGTTATTAGAATCTTCTGCCTCATCATCAGTGTCAACTAGCTCAGCCAGTGACATCCGTGTGAGCATACTAATGCGTCTTGGGAGGAAGACATTGAAGTAATAATTGACTGCAGTTGTCCTAAGATCAGAACGGAAAGACTTCAAGGCCTGCTTCAGAAACTTCTTTCCATTTGAGTGTGGATTCTTTTTCACCAATGGCTCAAAAGTCTTTTGGTCCTCGGCTGTCCATGACTTCAACATTTGTTCCCCCATTTCATCAAATTTCCAGGCTGAGAACGCAGGGCCAAGATCACATTTGAGACGGAGTCTCTCCTCTAGAACATGGCTTTGAACACACTCAACTGAGCCTGGAGATTGGCAAGTGCAAGACTCTGCTCTGCCTTTTCCAACATATTTAGTGGATTGTTTGGTATTGCCCATTTCAATAGGCCAGACTTTGGTTCCTAACCATCTTGAATCATCAGAACCACCATGAGCTTGTCTATAGCCAACTGGTTCGGACCACTCGGGAATTTCAGCCTGAAAACGGGGCCCAACTGGAACAACCATCTTTGGAGAGGGATCATCTGTGAAGCTCTCTAACCTAATGGTAATGGACCCACGAGGTGATTGAAGATGCCTGGTCTTTGATCCTTTCCTAGTCAATGACTTTGAATTGTGAATCAGTTCATCCAAGGCAAGCAATGGTGCTTCGATGGGGGTGAGGGTTAGGTCCACAGGGCTCAAGTGGTCTGAGCCATTTACAGATTCGTCGGAATCAATTACAGAAGAAATATAGTTGGCAGGAGGACCCATATCTACAGCGTTTAGAAAGGATTCTGAAAACATTCGCTCTTGAAGACTCGCTTCAAATGTTAATAAGCTCGTTGGGCTATGTGAAGTCGGGACTGCATTTTTTTCAAAACTTTTGGATTTCACTGAACTGTTAAAGCATGAAACAGTCGATGCATGGGACAACTGTCTTCTACTCTTTTTTTCCTTACTTTTGTTGTCAAATGTCTCCAATGGAAGGTTGGGAGCGTTTCTCAAGTTTCCTTTGATGTAAAGTTGGAGCTTTCTCTTTCTCTGTCAAACAAATAGGAGGAGATTAGTTCACGGGTAAATTTAGGTTTAGAGCATTTACATGAAAACTTTTTTAGGAAGAAATAGGCTAAAATTGATAACACATCATTCAGATAGTAGGTAAACGACAAAAAGACTTCTGGCAACCGCTGACTCTCGAACCAGACTCAAAGTTTATCACCTCGACAGAAGCAATATAACTCGTTGATCCATTATTGGGCGCAAATGAGCCAAAGACGGTTAACGCAGTCCTTTCATCACCCACATCGAAATCCACTATCTTACAGCAAAATAAAAAATAAAAAAAGAAATGAAAAAAACAAAACTTCAGACAATTAAAGAAATTAAAAAGAAAAAAAGAAAATAAAATAAAACTCTTGCTCCTTCCAGAGCACCACTGCCATCCACGTTCTGGAACCTCCTATCTGTTTCTGATACTCCGGTGGCAGCTTAGAAGCGGGACGAGCCAGCAGTATTGTAGCTTCTTCCTCTCTCTTTTTCTTATTCATCATGTTCTCTGCCAAGCTTCCACTTTCGCCACCAATCACATATGATCTTGAAGCCAGATCTGTTCGAGCTTTTAACTCCAAGCTACGCCCATGACCTCCACTCGATGATGTCATCATCTCACTATTGTTGTCTCTGACTCTCTGTTTCTTGTTCGCATCAAGAAAAGTCGTGGCAGGATAAAACCCCAATCGAAGAACCGCCCAATCTATCAGATCGACGCAAGAACAAACACCCCACTTAGAGGGACAAACGGCCGTTTGAATGGAAAATTAGCAAATCATAAAAGTTGAACACTAAAGAACTTTGCGGCTGGACTTTGCCGAGGGGACTTTGGATCAGCCCAGCGCCGAAGAGAAAGAAGAAAAGTTTTGCAGGAGGCGCCACATTCTCTACCCTAGCGGCTGCGAGTCTTGAAAATTAATTACACATGAAAACTTAAAAGAACATGAAAAAACAAGGTTACTTCTCATTTTCAAATTGGAAATTTAAAAGCACACTTCGCGCTTTAAAAAATGGAAAATGAAGAAAGTGTGGTTGTCACCTAACCATCTGCACAATGCTATTTCTACCCAATAGGGGCCCTAAGTGCACCCATATTGAGGCTCAAAAGAAGCTCGAATTGAGCCCAGCTCTGATGAGTGCTCGAATTATACACAGATAATGCACCACAACGCTACTCTAGCAGAAAGGTTTACAAGTTGAAATGAGATACAAATCTGGAACAGATTTTTGCCATTGTTCAACCTCCAACAACTAAATTCGTCCTTTCAAGCATACAGAGAGTCCATAGACTTCAATATCCCACATTTGAGCTCAGAACGTTAATTGTTTTCTTTTTCATTATTTGATTGTTTTCTTTTTCATTATTTGATTTTCCTTGGTTGTGTAATTCTATAACTCAATATTCACTCTGAAGTACTTATTTTCTCCTAATCTGTTTCATCTTATTTTTAAGATTTTGAAATTGTATTTTTACTCGAGTAATTTGAAAACTAGTTTAGAAATGACAAGTATGAATTAAGTACACCAAACCAAACCAAAGCTAACATGATCAAGAAGTAACCTATCATCCCTCCACATGTATACTTTTCTCCCTCCAATTCGTTCTCTCTAAAGTCGTACTCTCATCCAATCCAAGAAGTAACCTATCACTCTTGACCACTCGAATTCATGTCTGCTTAGGTTGTCCTCTTCCTCTCCTCCCCGCCTCTTCTCTTCATCTCTCAACTCGTCTAACAGGTGCACTTCTCGGTCTTCTACACACATGATAAAACCACCGCAATCGACACTCTCACATCTTATCTTCAATAGGTGTTACTCTCACTTTTTTTTTTGTTTCATTCATCAAACGGTCTTTTCTAATATGTTCCCACATTCAACAACATGCGCATCTCAGTCACACTCCTCACTAGAATGTGACATTGTTTCACATCCAACACTTTACGTCATACAATAATGCAGGCTTAATTGATGTCCCATAAAAGTTAACCGTCAATTTATTTGACATATCTCGATCATATAGAAATCCCGACACAATCTTCCATTTCATCTACCTTGTTCTGATTCTATAAAATGCATCACCATCTAGATCACCATCTTCTGAATTATGAAGTCTAAGTAAGGGAACATACCACTGAACGATATAAACTTACCATCTAAGAATATCTCACCACATGACCCATAAATACAAAAAATATGAACTATAAACACTATAAATCTATAAAAACCACCAAAAAATGAGAAGAAAATAAATATAACATTCTAACTAAAACATGTGAAGTTTAAAATGGTTTAATATAGCTCAAACAAAAACTTATATCCAAAAAAATTATGTCATCCAAAATATGTCAACTTGTTTGTGTTTGATAATTATGATATCATCATCATCAATTATGACACTCCTCATAATCTAGATCTGAATTTGATAACAATGGAACATCATCCTCATTCATTTCATTCCCGGGAGGATCTTTAAACTCATGTACGTCATCAATTACGTTGGTTGGCCCTTATTTACTTCATATTAGAGTTTTTATTACTATTATGGGCTGATTGCTTAATTAGTTAATTAGTAATCAAAGCCATGTTAACAGGCAGACAGGTTAATTAATGGTCAGGACTTCCAAAAGTAACTAAATAAACAAGTTAAAATCCATTAAAAATGGCGTTCATGTCGTGGTGATGGTGCCAATATGGCATCACCACATGTTCACTTGTCGTCATGAAGGTTTTTCGTGACGAGGGGTCTTCATATCCCCATATAGTGCATATGCTGTGCGCCACATTGTGCCTTAGACAACTATTACTTGTGATACTATACTATAGTACATGTCACGAGATACAACCCTTCTGCCGTATTTGAAGCCACTTGCAGGCATTACTAAATATTATTGGCATCATGACTTCTGACCACTTAGGTTGCAACTATCAAAGGCCACATCGGTCATGTCCGGGTATCCGACCACCATATGCACGTCCATTTATCCAGGATCCAAGGCACATGAATCGGGTACTATTTTACCACATACTACGTTTGTATGAGAGTGTGAATACAAAAACAACATTTCCTCGCGGAGAGACTGTTTCCGGATTGTTTCCGGATGACTCATGATGAAAATCGTGTGGGAAGTTGCATGAACTGACCGTTGCTTTATACATTGTAGTTAATGGCAAGATATAGTGCACGCCATATGCGCCATTGCCACGAAAAAATGGTCGTCGCCATAGCGCCATTCGTATATGCGCCATCGCCATGCACCATGAAAAATGCCATTGAGCCATGGTGATCGCCATGTGCCATGACAACAATGACTTTATAACAAAGAAGCATAGGCAATTTTATGAGGCATTTTGCAATATTCCATCTTATTCTGAAGTCAAAAAATACTGAGTCTTTGGCTCCATTAGAAATGATGGAAATTGTATGAGAGTGTGAATGAGTTGGCAAAAAATAACAGGTCCACATAATGAATGTAGAAAAATAAGTTATGCAAAATGTAACTGGTAGAGAGTATGTAAATGTGAGAGCTGATCCCCAAAAGTGGCAAACACTGGCAGATGCGACCACCAGTAGCAAATGCAAAGTAATGAATTTGGAAAGGAAAATATGTGGCTATGTTCAAGTAAGAATGTTATCCTAAATCAAAAGAAGAAGAAGGATTAGTAGTTAGTGCCCCTATCGAAGTTAAAATGCAAACCCAAAATACAATACAAGACAAATAAACCTTGATACACCACTTTTTGAATCTCATTCATCTATGAAGCTACAATATAATCACTTTTTTTCTTTTTTATGTGTTTTTTGTAATAATACATGACTTATCTTGACTTATTTTTAATAGTTAGTTTATTTACAATGAGATAGAGGGGAGTAAATCCAAATATCACCATCTGGACATTTTCTCATAAGCTGCTAGTTGAGTATCACTAATTATAGCAATGAAATTTTAGAAAGTTGAGCTTACCCGTGGGCAGTCAAGGTCACCAATAGACAAGACTTTTCGCACTCTTAGTGTTTGGTTCAACAATGATCCAGATTTTCCGAAGCTAGCTTTGGGATCACAAGGATCCAGAGCAATTCTTTTCAGCTTAAAAAGCATGTCTGCATCAGAATATTTTCCAAAAACAGATCCTCTTGATTCTAGTGATGAACATCCTTCGACAATTCCCTGCTCTATTCTTTGATTCTGTCTATCCATTTATTTGGCCTAGCGCTGCTATCACCTCTTTCTCCAATTCAACTCTGATCGTAAGCTACAAAACACATTAGATTTATAAATCACACCTGTCAAAATTTAGTTGCAAAAGAAAGAATGGAATGAAACATGAAAATCCAATATGATGCAGAGTAGCTATTATTTGCATTCACTAATTTATAAGCCATATCTAAACACTGACGACAACAAACTCAAAACACCTCAGATCACCTATCCCAGAATAAAGGAAACTCAACTAGATCAGTCTTTGAATATAGGATCAACTCAACTAAAACTGTTATTATAATATCCAACTGCCTCTACGTTATAGCCTATAGCCAACTAATTCAGTCCGTTCTGTTAACAAAACCCAAAAGAAAAACGACGAGAATACGCAAAGGAGTTCAGTGTTACTCTACGTCATTAACTATCCACAGAACTTCCAAAGTATGTAAACCCTAGATTTCTAATTTACACACTATTGATTCTAAGTTTACTGGTATACTGAGAAAAAATGCATAAAAGTGTTAGTGTATACATTTATATACGATGCATGTGTAAATACAGCGAGATCTTGACGAATAAGTGAGAAACGATCTGCTAAACGATTTGTAAGTATGTAGAAACAAACTTCACCCATGTTTGCAAAAACACACACCCAATCATACGCACATATGTTCTCGTACTGATGATTCAGGCGGAAATAGCGCTGGTCGGAGATGGTGTCTGAACGGAGCGTGACTTTGACGGGTCGGGTCGCCGGCGTGCACTAATTTTAGCCCGTACGGCTTTTTTCTTGAGTTTTCGTTTTCTTCCCTTTTCTTCCCTTTTTTTCTTTTACACCCCTTGAGTTTGAGCAAGAGAGAAAGATGAACAAAAACCTACAACCAATTCAAATTCATTGTATACTAAAACGTTATATCTCTCCTTATTTGAAGGATCTTACATTATTTTGGTAAGTTTTTCTTCACAATGTCAATCAAAATGTCTAGATGTAGACATTGTGGTTGACATTGAAGAGAAAAACTTACCAAAAACACATAAGACCGTAGAAAGAAGGAGAGAGAAATGTCATAAAATCAATATTTTGTGTCTATATCTCTCATGCCACATGTGCACCGTGCACATTGTAGCATTGGAGATGCTCTAATACTTACAATGATATCATACTCTTAGGGGTAATTAATGAGTTTGGATATGGTACAACCCGTTGTATCATATACATCATACAATCAGTGACATTTTTGTAATTTTAGATTAAAAATCGTGGCTTCTGTTAATTAAGCATCAATGCACTTTTATTGAAAATCAGACCTATTATATTGAATATTGAGAGTCTAATATTGAGCACCATGATCTTTGTTTCATATTTTGTAATTCACTTTCTTTTTCTTATTATTTCTTTTATAAAAGTTTTTAAAACTATGTCTGTAATCAACTCTTGTGAATTTCAATATATGAATCTAATTTAATATTATACTTTTGAAACATTCAATTATATGAAAATCATAAGTTATATTAGTTGAGCCTCGAGTCATGTTTATTGAACTTGGAGTGTTCTCTATTGAGAGCATGAAACATTGCAATTGAGTATAAGAATTTCAAAATTTATTAAGCATAAAAACAACATCATTGAGCTGAGTATCACGTTATCTACTATTGAACATTCAGAATCAAATCCTTCCAAGCCCATTTCTTTTTCAAAAATACCTTTTTCTTCTCTCATATCATTCTCATTGAGTATCGTGTCATCTACTATTGAGCATTAAGACTATGTGAGCAAACTCCAATCTGATTATCGCGAACTCCGCTCAAACATGCGGTGATGGTGTGAGTTTCATTTGCTAGGAGGAGTCAACGAGCACGATCAGGAGCATCTGATGCGAGACGAGTGTCTGGACGTCTTGATGCAAACAACGAGCCTAACTTCTGTCTGAGTGCGAGCGGCGAGCAATCATGTCACTCTCCGGACCATATCCGTGCCACGTAGACAACCGTCGTACAACTCAATAAGAATAAAAAGTTGTTCCCATTGAATTATACAAGGTGTCCGATAGATTCTATTGCCAAATCGATTAGTAAATGCCACAATCAACATCAATATCATAAACAAACAAATGCGGAAATAGTAATATGTTTAAATATTTAGCCAGACGTGGCAAACACAAGCAAGCAGGCCCTCGAATTGTTAATAGAAAATAATGTTCAAATGTCCATGAACAAATTCCATATATTTTTAAATAAGAATGGAAGCACGAACCAAGTCTTCCTTATTCGATGATCACCCTAGGAAAATGTGCAGGTCGTAGGGCTCAAACCTCACCCTGAAAAAAATAGTGAGGCCCCCGAAGGGGTCATTACTCCTTAGAAAGAAGTACTAGTGACAAGCAGATTATATGAGGAATAACTAATGTTTCAGTCACAAGATCCAAAAATATGGTCATACATATATTTATAGGTGTAACTACCGTTACCACATCCATAAGATGATATATACTGTATATACTTGTAAAATACTCAACCCATGGGTCATTTTCATTTAAACAGTCTTTTAGATAATAAGTCTATATTCGACCCTTTTCATTTCTTTCCTGAATGCCTTGCTCGTAAGCTACATGCATCCTACATTCGTATATACTACCGAGTGTTTTAGGATCATCTATCGTCTAAGGGTGCTCAACCCCAACCTGGAGTATTTAGGATCATTTACCGCTCAAGAGTACTCTACCCCAACCTGGAGTATTTAGGATCGTTTACCGTTCAAGGGTACTCAACCCCAACTTAGAGTATTTATTAAAATCATTTACTGTCCAAGGGTACTCACCCCACCTATTCTTTCCATAATCCTAACCCGAATATGGACAACACCTCATGCATTTATATGTGGACTATTCCTAGTCCTATAATCATATATAATTTCTTAGAGATCATCATGGAAGATTCACACTTGAACTAACCATGATGAACCACCCAAAACTGTCCAATTCTATAATGGGGTAGAGTTTTGACTTGGAGGTCAATGCCCATTTGACAACCCAAACTAGGTCCAATGTCTATGAAATTTCACACATATACATATCATAATAAGGAATCCAAAAATAACATTTTGAGCCCATGGAACATCACACATAATAAATGATGACATTTTTAATAACCAAACTCGCATAATATGCTTTTCCACTACAATCATGGTTTAACAAGGCATAAGACATACATAGATACAATTAATCATTTCATAAAACATATTCTTGATTAATTTAGATAATTTCATTCCTCACGCAAAAGTTATAAATCATATAGCCGTCTTCTCACCTTAATGAAGCTTGTGAAGTTCTAGCCTTCCCGGTTGAGCTCCGGCGAAACTTCGGCGAGCTCCGGCGACCACTCCGGCCACTTCTCAAGTACTTGAGAAAGTAAACTTCACCTTCAACAAGTACCTATCAAGGTTTTGTGTCCAAAAGACTCATATTAATAACTATAACTCCTCAAAAGTCACTTTCCGGCGAACCGGTCAACTTTGTTCTCTATGTCCGTTTTGGATTGAATCTGACCTTCCAACCCCTCATTCTACACTTAAATGTGTAGAACAATCCTAGGGGTATGAAATATGATTACCTAATAATATGAGAAGATTGAATAAAAAAAGGGATTAATAGAGTCATTACCTTGCACACCTCAAGTTTTACTCCCTAACTCCCCCCGTTTCTTCTCTTTCTCCCTTCTTCCTTCCTCCCTTGTTCTTGGTGCGTGTATGGCCGATAAAAATGGACTTTTGCAGACCTTCTCTCACCTTGTTTGAGGTCTTGGCCGGTCGAATGGGTAAGGGTGGGTGTTAATTGAGAATGCTTTTTTGGCATTTCTCACAATAATGTGAGAGAGATCAGAGGGTCCCTTCCCCTTTCCAATTTGTCTCCTCATCACTTCCTTATTATTTCTTTAGCTCAAAATGAGTCTCTCCATATTTTTTGCAATACCAAAAATGTGGTATGGCCCCCACTCATGTGGGAGGTCATCCCTTTGTACCCCGAAATGTATACAAATTCGGTCTCAAAAGTTGTACTTTCTGGAGTGTTTTGATTAAATTTCATTCTATTGGGTCAAATAAAATATATATCATTATTCCAATTATTATGGACTTCTAGAAATAATATATATTTCCAAAATTTAATGTAGTGGTCTCCGTAATTTATTATGGCTTTTATGTGTCAGTATGCCGATACCGATAAATGGGCCTAGTATGCACAATTGGCCAACTCTACATTGTTTCTATGGACCAACATGGATATCCATCATCATATAAATATTATCTAGACCTAGATGTAAAATTGTGAGGAGGCAGCCCTTGTGATCCTACGAGAACTCCACATCAATATTATTTAATTTTAACTTAAACTGAAAAAGGTCAAAATTGTCCTAGGACGGTTACGAAAAGTAAAAATGGGGGTGCGCAAAGCAATCCCCTATTTTGAATCGATATCTACCATATTTGAAGGTTTTTAAACACTCCATAAATTCCTTCATCCCTCAGCTCACACTATAACGCACCTCGATACTCGCTTCTTTCTAGTCATATAATAGCCCTTATATCTTTATATGAGTATTACAACAACAACAACAACAACAACAACATCCGAGCCTTATTTTCAATAGATTTTGGGATCGACTAACATGAATCTAGATTTTGGGAAACTTACCCTAAATGCTCATGGCATGAATGTACTACATCTTGGCAAGTACCGCCTAAGCCAGTCCACAGTTGTGTTTTCCCCTTGAACCTAATTATGAGGCATGTACTCTCGATAATAGGTAGGTGTCACGCCCCAGACCGCATCCGAGCGCGTGTACAACCGCCGTATGACTAAATGACGTCACTCGCAAGTCAACATGACTTAATCATACAAGGCGTCCATGAACATTGTTCATACCATACTCAGTAAGTAAACATACATAACAACATCACATATTTGGATTGAACGAAATCGCGGAAATATTCAAAGTTCAACCGTGGGCCACATATGGCCAAAACGTGGGCTCGCAGGCCCAAAACGAATGTACTTATTACAAAATATCCATGAGCATAGTTTATAGTTTAAAACGGTAAAGGAAGCACGAACCACGTCTCCCTTCAGATTACTTCACCGAGCAAGGTGAGAATGCAAGCTTGAACTTCAACCTGAAATGGTGGGGCCCCCCGAAGGGGTCAGTACATGTACCGAGCGAGTAGCAGGCTAAATGTAGAATAACTAACGTTTCAAGTATAAGACCCAAACATAGGGTGATACATATACATATAGCTCTTTCCCCCAAGTTATGAAATATATATCATTATATATATACACTTGGAAATACCCGACCCGTAGGTCATTGTTTATTTGGGAAATAATATAGTCGTTAAACTTGGCTTAAACCTCAACCCACCCATATACCTATGAGTGTATAGAACTCCTCCTGGTTCAAATCATCTTCACATAAGGACACCGCCCGGTCCTAAATTACAAAATACTAATCTATGAGTTTTGAGGATACACACCCGATCCTTGGGTACTCCACCCTATAACCGAGTTTTGAGGATAACCGCCCGATCCTTGGGTACTCCACCCTATAGCCGAGTTTTGAGGATACACGCCCGATCCTTGGGTACTCCACCCTATATAACCGAGTTTTGAGGATACACGCCCGATCCTTGGGTACTCCACCCTATAACCGAGTTTTGAGGATAACCGCCCGATCCTTGGGTACTCCACCCGACTTATGATCTACCACATATCATCCTAGATAAGGTCTATATCATAATCAATAATCAAGACCAAACCAAGTCTTAAGGCCTAAGCAGAATCATCCATGCAATTCATGCATTAAAAATCAACATATAGGCAAAACAG